CCTATAAATAAGTGATAAAGACATTTTATGTTTAATTATGAGTTCACTTGAAAAGATATGTAGGAAATAGGTATCCTAGTAGTCAAAATGGCCTTGCTCGGGCCATTTTGGTTGAAAAGCGTTCTAAAAGCCCTTAATTGCTATTTTATTGTAGTTTCAAACCTTGGCCACCTATAAATAAGTGATAAAGACATGTTTTGACTAATTATGTGTTCACTTGAAAAGAAATGTAGGAAATAGGCATCCTAGTATTCAAAATGGCCTTATTCGGGCCATTTTGGTTGAAAGAGCGTTCTAAAACCCCTTAATTGCTATTTTCTTGTAATTTCAAGCCTTGGCCACTTATAAATAAGTGATAAAGACATTTTATGACTATTTATGAGCTCACTTGACAAGAAATGTAGGAAATATGTATCCTAGTAATCAAAATGGCCTTACTCGGGCCATTTTGGTTGAAAAAGCGTTCTAAAACCCCGTAATTGCTATTTTCTTGTAATTTCAAGCCTTTACCACCAATAAATAAGTGATAAAGACATGTTATGACTATTTATGATTTCACTTGACAAGAAATGTAGGAAATAGGCATTCTAGTAGTCAAAATGGCCTTACTCGGGCCATTTTGGTTGAAAAAGCGTTCTAAAACCCCTTAATTGCTATTTTCTTGTAATTTCAAGCCTTGTAAACCTATAGATAAGTGATAAAGACATGTTATGACTATTTATGAATTCACTTGACAAGAAATGTAGGAAATAGGCATCCTAGTAGTCAAAATGGCCTTACTCGGGCCAATTTGGTTGAAAAAGCGTTCTCAAACCCCTTAATTGCTATTTTCTTGTAATTTCAAGCCTTTACCACCAATAAATAAGTGATAAAGACATGTTATGATTATTTATGAGTTCACTTGAAAAGAAATGTAAGAAATAGGCATCCTAGTAGTCAAAATTGCCTTACTCGGGCCATTTTGGTTGAAAAAGCGTTCTAAAACCCCTTAATTGCTGTTTTCTTGTAATTTCAAGTCTTGGACACCTATAAATAAGTGATAAAGACATTTTATGTTTAATTATGAGTTCACTTGAAAAGAAATGTAGGAAATAGGTATCCTAGTAGTCAAAATGGCCTTGCTCGGGCCATTTTGGTTGAAAAGCATTCTAAAAGCCCTTAATTGCTATTTTATTGTAATTTCAAGCTTTGGCCATCTATAAATAAGTTATAAAGACATGTTATGACTAATTATGAGTTCACTTGAAAAGAAATGTAAGAAATAGGCATCCTAGTAGTCAAAATTGCCTTACTCGGGCCATTTTGGTTGAAAAAGCGTTCTAAAACCCCTTAATTGCTATTTTCTTGTAATTTCAAGTCTTGGACACCTATAAATAAGTGATAAAGATATTTTATGTTTAAGTATGAGTTCACTTGAAAAGAAATGTAGGAAATAGGTATCCTAGTAGTCAAAATGGCCTTGCTCGGGCCATTTTGGTTGAAAAGCGTTCTAAAAGCCCTTAATTGCTATTTTCTTGTAGTTTCAAGCCTTGACCACCTATAAATAAGTGATAAAGACATGTTATGACTAATTATGTGTTCACTTGAAAAGAAATGTAGGAAATAGGCATCCTAGTAGTCAAAATGGCCTTACTCGGGCCATTTTGGTTGAAAGAGCGTTCTAAAACCCTTAATTACTATTTTCTTGTAATTTCAAGCCTTGGCCACCTATAAATAAGTGATAAAGACATTTTATGACTATTTATGAGCTCACTTGACAAGAAATGTAGGAAATATATATCCTAGTAATCAAAATGGCCTTACTCGGGCCATTTTGGTTGAAAAAGCGTTCTAAAACCCCTTAATTGCTATTTTCTTGTAATTTCAAGTCTTGGCCACCTATAAATAAGTGATAAAGACATGTTATGACTATTTTTGAGTTCACTGGACAAGAAATGTAGGAAATAGGCATCCTAGTAGTCAAAATTGCCTTACTCGGGCAATTTTGGTTGAAAAAGCGTTCTAAAACCCCTTAATTGCTATTTTCTTGTAATTTTAAGGCTTGGCCACTTATAAATAGGTGATAAAGACATGTTACGACTATTTATGAGTTCACTCCTACTAACTTACGTTTTGTGTATGTATTCTAAGTTTTGCAATGGACAAACGGGAAATCCGTTCACGAGCGAGGAACTCAATGTAATTCGAGACATGTTGGCGGCCTACATCACATTTAATTTGTAAATATCTTTTTTTTTCTATTTTAACTAGCTTAGTGTACTACATTATTACTAATTAATTATGTTTATTTGTAGTTATGACACATTTTTCTAATTAATATCATATTTTGGGATTGTTATCAATATCTATGTCCTTGTTATTATTTTCAATTATTATTATTATAAATATATTAATAATACTAAATATTATTAATATTATTATAATAATATTATAATAATAATTATTATTATGAATATTATAATAGTAATAATTATTATTAATATTAATATTATAATAATAATAGTTATTATTATTAAAATTATTAATAATGATAATAATAATTATTATTATTAATTATCGGTATTATGTACATGATCTCATTATTATTATATTTATAAGTATTAATATTAATATATATTATTATATATTATTGCCGAAAAAAAACAAGTCAAAGGCACCGATTGATGCTTAAAACCGGTGCTTATTGCATTGAATTTAATAAAAAAAAACTGGCGCCATTAAAGTTGGCACCAGTTTTGAAACGGTTCAAAATTTTTGAGAATTTGACATCCCTCAAATCCCCAACGGTTCAAAATCGGTGCCTTAGGGGGGGTTTGAACCGGTGCCAAATTAGGATTTTCGTCTAGTGATACTATGTCATGTTTTATTTTATGCATTAGTAAATTATGCATGCTAGGTTTTATTTATATATGTTGTTGATGATGCGCTAGAGTTCACTATACAACATAATAAATCTAGGTCCCGGTAATATTGGGATTGCTTTTCCAATTAAAAACCCAACAACCCTTCGATAATTAATGATAGGTCATGCCAAAGCTGGGTGTCATTTTTATATCTTAGGTAACTTGGGGTAAATCAAGTTTTACAATTTTAATTGGTTGTGCTCAACAAGATTACCTAAAGGGTTTAGAATCTTGAAGTAAAGGGTTAACTATTCAACCAAGAATTGCAAGAGTTGTAATCAGTAAAGAGCTTACTCACCTTGAAAATGTAATGGTTGATGGTAGGGCCACAACAAGGAAAAAGGGCTTAGGCAACGACCAAAAATTGCTGCCATAGATTCAAAAACTGTTGCATTAGGCCTTTGGCAATGGTTTTGTAACGCCGCATTAGGGTGGCGCAGCCTTGGGTATTAGGCAACACTTTTGATATCTATGGCAAAGAAATTATCAAACCTTCGCCTTTAATTTCCTATGGCCACGGTTTTCTAATGCAATGCTTAGCTATCTAAACCAACGGTTATCTTTGAATTTTAGCCAACGCTTATATTTGATTTGCAATAATTAGCCACTACCTATAACCATGGTTATATTTTTTGCAAATTAAATGTACCAAGTTAGATAATCCTCCTACTATATAAGATGTATTTACACAATCTTATAATTTAATACGAAGTACATAAGATTCATAGATAAAGTGGCTTAATATGTTTTAAATGTACATACATCATATATATATCAATCAATTACATCAACCCATATACTACCAAGGCTTCTTACATGTCCAAAAACTTGCAAACATATATCCTACCAAGGCTTTTAACATGTCCAAAAACATGCATATATACCAAAATGTGAATCAAATCTAATTTTAAACTGTCGCCTAATCCTAACGAGCTTAATACTTCAATTAACAAAAAGTTGTATATGCTCCATATATAAATATCCTTCAAACATATATACACATAAAAAAAACAAAATCAATAATAGAAAATATGCATGGAATAAAAATTAATAATTCAAGTCAAAAATTCGGCAGAGTTTCCTCTATAAATTGGACAACCCAGAAAATGGGAGTGTTTCGAATCTAGAATCAAATACAATGAAACCATGTTCCCAAATCAAAATAGGACAATTCATAAGATAAAAAAAGAGATGAGTAACCAAATTCAAGTATAAAATTCAGCAGAGTTTCCCCTACAAATTGGACTACCCAAAATTTTGGGGTGTTTCATACCAAGATTTAATAACAATAACAAAATTCTCAGACCACAATAGGACATCTCAAAAGATAGAGAAAGAGAAATATGGATTGGAGGGGAGGAGGGGGGGGGGGTGATAGAGAGATTGGAGGGGGAGGGTATATTTTTATGAAAAAGGGAACATACCTGATTCAATAGTGGCTGATGCTTAAGTTTCTGCACCACCATCAATAGTAGATACAACAGCCTTGGTGATTAAATCTGGAGTAAGATTAAGGTCCTTTTTTCCACTAAGATGAGCAAGTACTAAGGATACCACTTAACTTTATGTGCCAGACTACTTTTTGAGTTGCATAATTTTTTTGCAACTCAGTAAATTCAGCTACTTTTGCTGCATGTACTTCATTTTCCTTATCTAATTCTTCTTTTTCAGCAACATATCCTTTTGCACATCGGCTTTAATGGTCTCCATAACCTCAGTTGGAAAAACAAGTGAATTACTAGCTCCACTTGCCTCCAACTTTTTATGAGAAACTCCTTTCCCAATTAGACGAACATATCCATTATGGTCTTCTTTCATTACTTCATCAAATGGATCCTTTTTAGAATCATCACTTACATCTACTTGGGATTCTTCCAAACGCTTCATTGCTTCTTCCTGTATCATTTTAGAAACTAGTAGGAAAATATTCATTTCTAGTTTAGTTGATGAATAAAATTATAACCCATACATTTATAACAAAAGTACCCACAATTTTCTTTTGTGTATCATCAGCTGATGTATTATAGGTCCTTCCTTCTTTACAACGTCGCGTTCGTTCAAACATCTTTAATTTTGATGGTGCTTCACCATCCATTTCTAAATGCGTTTCATACAAAATTAAACATTACTGTACTAATATATAAATTCAACTTTTCATTATTGAAATTAGGTATGGCATAAAATTCTCACCATTTCCTGATGTATACCCGCAAAACCCTTAGGACTAGTTGTATGCATGTTGTCTTGTTGCTGGCGATTTTCAAAATTTTGCAAGCTCGTTTTCTTATAAAAGAAAATAGAAGTTAAGCATGATGTATAGAAGGATAATTATTCATAATGTAATATTTTTTATTTATCTTTGCTGCCTGTGTATTCCAGTAAGCTAGAAGAGTTTTGAAATGTGCTTCAGGCACATTCAATGGGCGAAACGTCCATCTATCACTGTTGATGGAATATGAGTAGTAATGTAATTTCTTGAGTCGCTCCAACACTAATCAACAGTTGTAAGAACACAATCTTTAGCTATAGTCGGAAGGATGTACTTGTTCTAGTTAAACAAAAGTTATCACCATTGTAGTAAGAAGTACAACAATATAAAGGATCTTTTTATGACCAAGAATTAACAAGTAAAATTTATGCAAATTGAGTTTACTTGAACATATTCCCAAATCTTATCCTTGTTAGGTACTTTGTGCCAATCAGTATAAATTAAGGGTGCCCAATTTTGATCGCGAACAATTGTTCCCAAAAATAGACTAAGTTCATCCTTAGCTTTAGAAGGGCCTATAGGTTGTCCTTTATCATTGCAGTAGATTGCCACGCGGTCTTCCCATTTTCGAGCATGAACCTCAAACATATTCGTTGGCCCTCTAGTTTTTTTTATGGGGCCTGATCAAGTAATGAAAAATTTCAATGTTGAAAAAACTAACATAGAAAGTAAAAACAATAATTTGTTTGAACCATTACCTTGCTTTTCCGGAGGGACAACTACTGGATTATCTATGACGCTGACATCAGTTTGATTTTCAAATGGAATTATAGCAGTTTGCTTTCGCTTGGATCTTAAATGTGTTTCCAAATTTTGTATCTTTACATCCACTTGTTGAGTTTCACTTGGATCTTTTTGTTGCTGCAACTTTATGAAATCATCCATCGCCATGGAAGGACATAATGGCTTCTTTTTTATTTTCTTTTTCAGCAGATGCAAGTTCCTTGGTCATTACCCAGATTACAGAATAAAAGCACCCAATATCAGGTTACATAAAATAAAACTCATTTATACTTCAGGAATCAAAGAAGAAAAATATTTAGTAAGTACCTTCTTAGATATAGATTTGTTAGTGTTTCCACTAACTCATTAGTTTCTTCTATCTCATTACTTGAAACTTCAAAAAATTCTTGTTCAGAATCATCATTGTAATCAAATTGATCTTCATCATGCACATAATCTTGATCTTTCAACTCTATGATCTTGTGTTTCTTTTTATCTTTCTGCTGCAAGCTCTTAACTTTGGCTAATAAATCATTAGCTAACTTTTCCATCCCAAGCTCTTTGAATTTGAGAGCATTTTTTCGAGAGTCAGGTTCCTTTGTTTCTCATATTCGGTCAACTTCAATGGTTCAAGTACTTTTAAGCCTTTCTTTGAACCTAAACTTTTTCCTTGCTTTGCCATATTCTAAAATAAAAAAATTAACAACATAAGAATGAAATATAATCCTACAACCAACATAGTACACATAACTAAAGAACAAAAAATATAAGGAAAAAACCAACCTTATAAAATGTATAAGGCCACATACCTAATCAGTCTTTATCGCCGAGTTCAAAAGGATATAAAAAGGTCTTGTCCAGCATTAAGAAAATTTAATGAACCAATTTTATGTAATAAATCTATAAGTGAAACTAATTCTCTAAATATTGAAGTCACTACATGAAAATTATAAGACACATAAAACAACCAAGTTTAATGAAGAATTAAGGCATAAAAACAACATTCCTACTTATATAACATCACAACTTTCTTAGAGCAAATCGTGAAAATGTCATTTCAGACTACAAAGATACGACTTAAGACTACATACATAAAACTAAAATTAGTGAAACAATAGAAATGAACAACAAACAAATATCCAAGAGCCACCATCCTTAAGACCCAAGCGCTAGGGGATCATCAGTGGCATGCATCCAGCCGAATCTGTGTAGCAATTTTTTTTGCTATGTTTTAAATACTGAGGTGTCACATCATGATTACAACAAGGACATGTGTAATGGCTGGGAAATCATTTATTGTCCCTATTAAAGCTGCATGCATCCTAAATGTTTTCTTATGAAATGCATCATATGTCTTTGCTCCACTTTCCCACAATTCCTTCAATTCGTCGATCAATGGTTGCATATAGATGTCTATTTCATCTCCTGGTGACTTAGGGCCTGGAATCAATAAAGACAACATAAAATATTTGGGTTTCATTGACAACCAAGGAGGGAGATTATAGTTGATCAATACAATTGGCCATGTGCTGTGAGAAACACTCATCGTTCGAAAAGGGTTGAACCCATCACTAGCAAGTGCTAATCGAATGTTGCGTGGCTCTATCGGGGTAAAATGAATCAAATCGCTTCCAAGATTATCCATCTGCTCGATGCCTTATTTTATTGTCATCCAGACGTTCTTTATGATGCTAAATCATTGATTCTACTATTTTTGAGCACATATATTATCTTTGTAATCTAGGCTTCAAAGGAAAATTCCTTAAAACCTTTGTAGGAACGTTATCAGATTCCCACCTAGATAAATGACACTTAGGACACTCTTGAGCTGATTCATATTCCTTCCTATAGAGAATACAATCATTAGGACATGTATGTATCTTCTTATAATCAAGACCTAAATCCTTAATAATTTTCTTGGATTCGTAAGAGGATTTAGGAAGATTAGCCATGGGAAATGCTTCTTTCAAAAGCTCCAAGAGATCACCAATAGCTACATTACTTAATCCATTAAGACATTTGAAGAGTTATAAACGAATGAGAAAAGACAACTTAGAGTAAGTTTTATAATCGGGATATAAATCTTGTTTCCCTTCTTCAACCAACTTGTAAAACTTTTTAGCTTCCTCATTCGGTTCATCTTCAATCCCTTAGCATGAATTTGATTCTTCAGCAACATCTTTAAAATTATCATGTAATAAACTATGAATATCATCATAAGTGTTCTGACCACCAGGTTTTGGGTCATTACAAGGTGATGAAGATTCTTCTTTTTGAAGAACGCACTCCTTGTTTCCCTTCATAAACCCATCAACTACCAAATGATCATATACATTATGTCTATAATGGAAAATCGTCTCTTACAGTTTTTGCAAGGACAACAAATTTGTTCCCCAACGGCATTGCAGGCAAACGAATGATCAAGAAATGCATTCAACCCTCTTTTATACTTATCTAATTATCGGGGTAGTTCATCCAATTTTGATCCATCATTAATTTTCTTGTGTAAAATCAATGGTAACTAGATATCACAGAAAAAAAAAAAAAAAAAAGTTGAAGACAGAATTATACAAAAAATTATGACATTTAAGGGTAAGCATACACTATCTTTATCATTCCAATATGACGGTAACAATATCATCCAATTTTCCAAAGATATTGTACATGTTCCACTTTAATTGAAATCCCCAAAAAAAGATACATTATAATTGAATTTAAAAACAGGTGAATAATAGGATATTATAATAAACATAGTAACATGATTTATAAAACAAACAAATGTATCACATTTAAGGTATATAAATTAAAGCTCAAGACTAATTAATTTGTTGAAATTAACTAGCATATTTCCAACAACACATGTTCACATCATCAATTACTACTAAGGTTTCCTAGATTATATGTAGACATTATCCTTTAGTGCACATAATCACATTAATACTAATAAAAGGTTTGACAAAGTTCAATCCTTAATACTACATTAAATATCAAAACAGGGCATAAAATAAAGATTTAAAAACAGATAATAACTCACAAAATACATACAGAACAAGAGTGTGATTTGTACAGAGAAGTTGATATATACAATCTTATATGGAGGGAATCAAAATTAGTGATGCAACCTTGACCTCCTTCGTCTTATGCAAATGATTTTATTTGCCATTTGATAATGAAAGCAAATATTAGCAAATCGACATAAAGGCTAGAAGTAATTACTCACTTTCCACAATAAATTTCACTAGCAAACAATGCAGGTGAATATTCAATTTCACCTAGCTAACAACAAGTATTACTATCAAACAACATATTTGAGTACTAAAATGTGCCTTTTATACTATGCTAATAGAAATAAGCCAAGGCACCATAACACACTACTTGCTTATTTAGAAATTTAGCCGTACAATTTATCCCCAATGTATAAATTGCAAAATTAGATAGTAAATTGCAAAAATTATACTAGTAACCTCAACACATTTCTCAATTTGTTTATAAAGCATACTAGATGGCAAATGCTACAAAGAAACTCACAATACCCAATTTGTTTAAAAGCATTCTAGATGACTAGTGGTTCACCCCCACTAGAGGACTTCATTTTTAAATTTACACAACAACAAATTAAAACCCAAACTCTCTATATATATATATAATACATGAAAACAGAAAATTCACTTGGTAGTAGCGTAAAATCACAAACCCATTCTCAATAAATAATTAAAAATAAAATAAAATAAAATAAAAACTGGAATTGACAAGATTTTTTCCTACTATATTAAATTTGTAAAAAAAATATATGTATTGATTACCCTGAACTTGCTAAGAATCAAATTTGAAGATCTAATTCTCAAAATTCAGCTGGGAAGGACACTTACAACAAATTAGCAGACCACTAGCACTTGATGAGAAAATCGCTAACCCGATAATTGTACAGTTTCTACACACAATTCTGCTGGCTGCTATCGGATCTTCTTGTTGAGAAATTCGTTGATACTACCTAGACACTTGTGAATGAGATGTTAGAAACCTAATTATGAAATTTAAGCTAGGTACGGTAGGGGATTGTGAGAAAAATTAAGAGATCTAAAGATGAGCTAAATTTATGAGAGAAAAGAACAAAGAAATTCGAAATTAGGGTGTGAGATTGATGAGAGGGTTAACATCTTGTTCATGAGAGAAAAAAAACAAGCGGCTTGGGGTTTTGGTGGGATTTGGTTTGTGGGAAAAAAATTCATGGGAGGGAAAAATTTGGGTCCTTGGCGCGTTTACCAAAATTTAATAGGCTACAGTTTAAGTTTCTTTAATCGTTGTATGATATTCTAAAATAAAGTAGTGATAAAACTGTTGCCTTACTTAATCTTTATCAGCGGTTTAAAGGGCTAAAATAAAGGTTGGAAAAGTGCAGCCATAAATGCCTTTATGCAACGCTAAGAAAACTATTGCTGATTCGGCGTTGCCTAAGCCCCTTTTCCTTGTAGTGCGGCCAAAGTCCGGTCAATTATTGCACTAATATAGGATTTTGGAATCACTTAATTCAATTGAGACCATTTATTATTGAATAAAGAGCTTTAAAGTAACCTAATTAATTCATTTATGGTACTTTAAATTTATTATACATAATTATTGAACTTTTCCTCGTTTTTGTTTGTAGATGAATAACATTAATGACAACACTAACTTGCCAACCAAATTAAAAACATGGCTAAACCTAGGAAACTTCAGGGATTGGGAAAGGGAGCAAAGAAGTGTTCTAAAAAGCCATGGGCTTGAAGCTCGCCTATAAATTCCCATTGAAAGCAGATTCACTGTCGATTTTACTCCTGAAAGGCATGAGAAATATGTTTCGAATGCAGAGAAAGTCAGGAATCTTATCCTATCCTCTATTCCAACCTGTTGGTAAAAGATTTAAGGATTATGAGCCAACTTTGCTGCAAAGTTGCCTATACGATGCATGCAGAGGGTGTGTACGACTAATAGGCAGTGCATGCATCATCGATAAGAATGTTGAGGAAATCGCTGATTCGATTCCCAAGATTTATTACACCTGGACTAAAAGTGTAAGGTATGAGACTTACATCATTCATGGAAAGGTTATAACCAAGAAACTCATACTTGGTCAGTCAGTTAGGGACTATGTTAAGGAACTGATTGAATTACTCAATTGGATGGATATCCTAAGGAGACCTTTTGATGATTTGTTTGCTCATGACATGATTCTATTTTCACTCCATGCTGGTTATGATATCGTCAAGCTTATTCATGATGATGAAGGCTCTACAGCCAAGCTTGTCGATTTACTAGTTAACCATTCAGAGGAATACTTGAAGAAAGGTGAATGCCATTGTTTCAACTGCGGCAGGTGGTCTTACCACACAGCAGAATGTCCCCACAACATGCTGTTGTAAACGGAAGGTAAGGCGTTACCTAATGTACTTGTTGTAGAAATTAATCTTACTTCTTCTTCCACTTGGGTATTTGATACCGGTTATGGTGCTCACATTGTTAATAACATACAAGGATTAAGTGAGAGTAGGAAGTTAGCAAAAGGGGAGATAACGCTTTGAGTAGGAAATGGAGCAAAAGTTGCTGTGCGTGCTATTGGAAGCTATCACTTAAAGCTCCTGTTCGATCTTATTTTAGTGCTTAATAATTGTTATTTTATCCCAACTATTACCAAATACATTATTTCAGTTCCAATGTTAGATACTGAAGGTTTTTTCTTTTGAAATAATAGTCAAAAGTTGTTTTATTTGAAGAGATAATATGTTATATGGTAACGCTAAGTTGATTAATGGTTTGTATATTTTAGACTATACAGCTCATGTTTACAACATAGATCACAAGAAGCGCAAAACAGAAGAATCAAATCAAACCTACCTATGGCATTATGGGTTAGGTCACATAAACCAATCGTGCATCTAGAAATTTCAAAAGGATGGACTCTATTCCTCATTTGATTATGAATTGTGAGTCATGCTTGTTAGGTAGAATGACCAAATCACCTTTCACAAAAAATGGTGAAAGAGCTAGTGACCTCTTGGGCCTCATAAATACGGATGTGTGTGGACCAATGAGTTCAAAAGCTAGAGGTGGATTTAACTACTTCATCACTTTTACTGACTATTTAAGTAGATATGGCTATATCTACTTAATGAAGTAAAAGTCGGAATACTTTGAAAAGTTCAAAGAATTCCAGAATGAAGTACAAAATCAGCTTGGGAAAACATTTAAAGCACTACGATCTGATCGTGGTGGTGAATATTTGACTCAAGATTTTGATGATCTTCTGAGGGATTGTGGAATTATTTCACAATTAACTCCTCTAGGAACACCACAATTAAACAGTGTATCAGAAAGGAGGAATCGAACTTTGCTAGACATGGTTCGATCCATGATGAGCTTTACAGATCTCCACATATCGTTTTGGGGATATGCATTAGAGACAGTTGCGAACATACTAAACATAAGCCCATCCAAATTAGTTGAGAAGACGCCATATGAGTTATGGACTGGAAAAATTCCAAAGTTGTCTTTTCTCAAGATTAGGGCTTGTGAATCCATTGTAAAACGTTTATAAGGAGACAAACTTGGCCCTAAATCAGATAAATGTTTCTTCGTGGGTTATCCTAAGGAAACAAAAGTGTATTACTTCTACAATCGCGTAGATAACAAAGTGTTTGTTGCTCGCGGTGGTGTCTTTCTAGAAAGAGAATTTCTTTCTACAAAGCGAAGTGGGAGTAAAGTGGTTCTCGAAGAAATTCGAGACGAGCAACAAATGGATGTGGATAATACCACGTTAGAGGCGAGGGCACATGACTCAGCTAATTTGACAAATCATGCGTTGGAGCAAGCTAATTTAACTAACGAGACTCTTATCGTCCTACTTGAATCTAAATCTTGTGAAAATCTTCAAAGAGTTGAAGAGAATATTTCTATTATTGCTCCCATCCCTCGCATGTCACTCAGAATTAGAAACAAACAGTTTGTTGATGTTTTGTTAATTGAGGATTCTGAAATCCTCCTATTGGAAAATGAGGAACCCACAACCTACAAGCAAGCTTTGGCGAGCCCTGACTATGAGAAATGGCTTGAGGCCATGAAATCCGAAATGGACTCCGTGTTTGAAAATGATGTGTGGGCCCTAGTAGACTTGCCTGATGGGATCAAACCCATTGGTTGAAAATGGGTCTACAAGATCAAAATAGACAAAGATGGAAATGCTTAGAGATATATAAAGCAAGACTGGTTGCAAAAGGCTTTAGATAAATTCATGGTATTGACTATGATGAAACCTTTTACCTGGTAGAAATGCTTAAGTCTATTCGAATTCTTCTAGCGATTGCTACATTTTTCGATTATGAAATTTGGCAGTTGGATGTTAAAACTGCGCACCTTCTTTAACGGGTTCTTGACGAAGGATGTGAACATGACACAAGCTGAGGGTTTTAAGCATCCAGAAAATCCTAGAAAGGTTAGCAAGCTTCAGAAATCCATTTATGGATTGAAGCAAGCATCATGGAGTTGGAACATTCGTTTTGATGAGGAAATCAAACATTTTGTTTCCTCAAGAGCAAAGAAGAACCTTGTGTATACAAGAAGTCCAGTGGGAGCAACCAAGTTTTCTTAGTCTTTTATGTAGATGACATACTGCTCATGGGGAATGACATACCAATGCTTGAGTTAGTCAAGGAATGGTTGAAGAGTTGTTTCTCTATGGAATACTAGGGAGATGCAGTGTACATATTGGGAATTAGATCCATCGAGATAAGTCTCGAAGGATGATTGGAATAAGTCAAGAGACTTATATTGATAAGATCCTTGACAGATTCAAGATGAAAGACTCTAAGAAAGGATATCTACCCATGTCTCATGGTATTACGCTAAGTAAAACTCAGTGCCCTCAAAAGCCAGAAGAGTTGAGTCGTATGGCTAATGTACCTTATGCCTCGGCAATAGGGTCCATTATGTCTACCATGATATGTACAAGGCCGGATATTACATATTCCTTAAGCATGTGTAGCAGGTTTCAAGCAAATCTAGGAGACGCACACTACACTGCTGCTAAGAACATCCTTAAGTACTTGAGAAGAACTAAAGGAATGTTTCTAATTTATGGTGGTGAAAGTGAAATGGTTGTCAAGGGCTATATGGATGTGAGTTTCCAAACAGATAGAGATGACTTCAAATCCCAATCTGGATATATTTTCTATTTGAATGGAGGAGCAGTGAGCTGGAAGAGTTCAAAGCGAAGCACTGTCATAGTCTTTACAACAGAATCTGAGTATTTGGTTGTAGTAGAAGCAGCTAAGGATGCAATTTGGATCAAGAAGTTCCTCATTGAGCTAGACATTGTACCTAGTGCTCAAGAAAGAATTGAGTTATTTTGTGATTACAATAGTGCCATTGCCAATCAAAGGAGCTAAGGTCACATTACAAGTCCAAACATGTTGAGAGGAAATATCACCTTATTCGAGAGATTGTTGGAAGGCGGGATGTCAAGATCTGCAAAGTTCATACGGATGAGAGTATCACTAATCCGCTCACTAAACCCCTTTCACAGCCCAAGCATGAGAGTCACTCTAAGGCTTCTGGATTAAAGCAAATTATGTAATTGAAGTTGTATTTGTTTTGTGAAAACTTATTAAATATGTAATACATTAACTTGAATTATGTTTAATAAAAAAAATTT